TAACAATTAATATCATAAAAATATTCTTCATATAAATTCATAAAAAAAAATTTTTTTTTGATTTAAGAAAAATATTAAAATATTATTATATATGAAAAGACAGGGTTGTTTTGTAAAATTTTATTCAAAATTGTTTTAGTACTTCTACACAAATATATATATATTATATATATAAGAATATTAAGCGGACGTTAATATATAAGAATAAGAACGTGAATATCCACATACATTAATAAAATTCAAGTTCTACGATTCCAATATAATATTTTTAAAAATATCAATTACACTTGTATTTGCATCCTCTAATGTACAAAAATAACCAAAATTTTTGTATACCTAGATCTATACTATATACCGCACTCTTTAAAATTTAATGAAATCTTATATAATGCCTTATTATTATTATTATTATAAATGCCTGATATTAACCAACTAGCCTAATATATTTTCCTAATGTCACATTAAAGAACTTGAACTTATATACACAAATATTTGCTCATATACCTATAGCTAATTCAGAGAATTATCGTTTTAGTATATTTTTTCCAATTTAAGTTAGTTCGACATATTCCGGGAATATCCAAATTTTATAAATTTTACAAATTGTTCAATATCTTTTATAATTTCACCTGTATAATTTCATTGTCTATAAATTCACCTGTATAATTTTAGGCGGATTTATTCAATTTAAAATTGTTTGATGATTAAACTAAAATTATAAAAGAATAAAATTTTTTAGTAAATTTTTATGATTTTCCGAACTTTCTACAAAATTTCTGTTTCTCCTATTTAAAATCTTAAAATTTTTTTTCTAATAATAAATTTTCAAAAAAAAAATCACCCTATAAAACTATAAACAATAATTTTTTATTATTATTATTTTTAAAGTATAATATTTTATAAAATAACGAATTTGAAGAAAAACAAAAAAAAAATAAAACCATTAAATGGAATAAATTTAAAATATTTACGCCTATATTTTAGTATACATATAACAGTTATTAAAATCATATACTCGTAAGAAATTCATTCTATACCTTGTTAACAAATAACATCAAAAGTACTTTTGTAACAATAACCAAGATTTTTTCTTTTAATTTTTTTTTTATTCAATTTTTCGCATACAATGCAACCCGCTTTTAGGAAACCTTCTTAAGGTTTACATTGTTTTACATTAATCTCAAAATTTTTTAACTAAGACTTCAATTGAGGCGCTCAGTAAATTAGTGGCCCAGCCAACATTTTTTCAAAAATGAGTTAGTATATTCAATAGAGCTGTAATAACCTAAAACATTCTTCTATATTTTCAAAATGCTTTACACCTTTTTTCAGTCAATTTTGACATAAGTTCGTATTTGCCTCTTTAAAAAATTTTCTAGCAATTTAATCGAAATGAAAATTTAGCAATTTAATCGAAATGTTATTTTTACTAATAGGCCACTAATGTGCTTAGCACCTCAATTGTATTTCTGTACAAACAATAAAAACTTTGCATTATCAATTTAAAAATTTATCATGGAAATAATAAAAGCGTCCGCTTAGGAAGTGGTGTATAGGTGACTGGTTCGAGCTCAATTCGAGGAGTAAAATTTTTTTAATTTTTCTCTTTTGTTCCTCCTATAATAAAAAATCCACTTTTAAAGGCGGCAACTGCGATTATCGAAAATATTAATATAGCACAGGAACTCACCCTTGTTTAGACGTGGACAAAAACCAAATAAATTTACAATCTAAGTAAATTTTTTCAATTCGAAAGATATTTTCGAATATAATTTTAAGTTTCTTATATATATGGGATTACAAATAACAGGGTGTAATAAAAGTGGAAACAAACAAACCACTTGCAAGAAATTAAGTTTCCTTAAAGAAAGTACCTTTTAAAGGATACTTCCGCCTATAGAGGAAACAAAATGAATGATAAAATTAAGTTCCTTTACACGATAACCGGGTTATACTGTATATTGTTTTTAATAATGAAATATATATAGAAAAATAAGAAAACCCCTCATTACTTTTCGTAATATCAAAAAACTAAAATGTTTTGTAAATTTCATAAATATTTTAATAAAAAAGAAAAATGTTCGCGAACAAACTCTTATATCTAGATCCAAGAATATCTACTCACACCTTCATCATTAATATATGTACGTATGTACATGTGTACTCTTTATTTTTTATTAAAGGATTAAAATAATATTCACATGTTAAATTTTTTTTATTTTTTAACAACCATAAACATAAACGCAGGTCTAATTTAATTTTAAAAATTTTTTTTTTGTTAAGTTCTTCATTTTCATGTGATTTGTAAGTATATATATATACGTATATATGTGTAATGTTTGCAATATAATAATAATGATGTTTGTAATATTGAATTGAAATTTACCGTGCAGAACATTTTTTCTCTTATGTTTGCTTTCCGCACTCTTGCCACAAATTGATCGCTTCTGTTCGGTTTTATTAAAATTTTTCTTTTCGCTTATATACCTAAGTATTTACTTTACATTCTTACATACACAAAATTTAACATGGTATATATATATATATATACATATATACATATATCTTAATATAATGGAAATATTATAGTTATGGGTGAATTAAATTAATCACCCTCACAAAAAGTATTTACATTTTCTTTAACATTATTATAAAAATATGGAAAGAGTTCTTATAAGATAACCTATAATTTAAAAATATGAAATCAAACAAAAATGTATATTTTTTATAATAATGTAACTATATATATATACGTATACTTACTTACTATGCTAATGTTAATGAAAATTGTATGAACAAAAAAAAATTGAATATTTTTAAACAAATAAAATATGGAAGATTTCAGTTCTCCCTTAATAATTCGAAATTTTTTTCATTAAAAATAAATGAATAAAATAGTTAACGATTTTGTTTTTTTTTTAACAAATTTGACCGTACCACATTACATTTATTACTCATGTTCACAATTATATACAATGCATGCAAATATGAAAAAAAAAAATAGTCTGAAAATTAATTAAAATTGAAGATATTTTGTATGTATTAGAAATGTATTACAAGTTCCACCTTTGAAAAAGAAAATAATGATTATTTTGGCCCCCAATTGCAATTTTCGATATTTCAATCTACTACGTAAAGCTTGCTTTGTCTCACGTGATGAGTCTGGTCCAAGTCCAAGTCCAAGACCTGGCAGTCGCAGAGATTGTGACAAACAACCTCCTTATGCTGAAATATGTCACTAATATTATTGTGCAAAGGTTGAGGCTAAAAAATTTAAATGCATTATACAACAATAATTATTTTTTTATTTAATACCATTTTACACAATACGAGAAATTTACTCGAAAAATTTTATTTGTTCTAACTTACTTAACAAAGTAGAGTATTTTTGTATTTTACTTTAAATTGCATATTTTTAGGGGCAATATTTTTAAAATAAATTTTTTTGGAATAAACAAGTTTTGAGCATAAATATTACAAGTGAGATCGTTCCTTTTCTAATATTCTGTATGGGAATGGTAGAATTTTTCAGCAATTTTTTCATTAAAATCCATATTTTTATGTTTTAATTTGCATATAAGCTTAAAAGAAATATCTTCAGTTCTAAATGTATTGCAATAGATCCTAACAATAGGCATACTTTTTCAAATTAGTATAGTATTTACATTAAAATTCAAATAAAGGAAAGTTCAATAAGCTTTGCGAATTAATTTTCAATTGAAAATTAATTAAGATTACTTTCGAAATTAACAATTTTTTTATTCTTTAGAAATAGAATATTAAATCGATTTTCAAACTCTAAACTCCATTTAATAACAAAATTTTTTAAGAGATTTATGTAAAAAACTTTTCCGATGACTTTCTAAAGAGATTCTATATAATATTCTGTAAAATTCATTAAATAATGAAAATATTTTTAATATTTTCTCATTATATAATAATTACTCATTTTTAACATCTTCGAAATTCGAAATATAACTGTCTTAGGGTTATCGAATTTTTGAATTTCCACATATATATATATATATATATAACAAATTTCAGGATTCTAAATATTCAATTAATGTCTCATAAAATACTCAATTAATATACATAACATAAATATCTTCAATTATATAAAAATTAAAATTCTTATATAATTTAATTAAATAAAACACTCTTATAACACAAAATAATAATTAACAGCTCCTAATTGATTAAAACATGATAGACTATTATTATATTTAATGAAAGTAATTTTGTGTTATAAAACTCTCTTGATATAATTTTATAGTTTATACTATATGCATATAAATAAATTAAAATTCAATTAACATAATACCATAGTAATGACAATAATTTTTTATGTATGATGTATATGTATGTAAAGGGTGTATAGCGTGATTGGATCTTTTCCATAAAAACAAAAAAAAATTAATGTTTTGTTTATGTAATACAAGTATGAGTAAATGTCGGCTGCATCAACAACTACTATATAAATTAGTGCATTAACGCTTTCATATGGTCAGTTTAACACAATTAATTTCAAATCTCTTAGTTATTTAATCACCACGTAATGTGGTTGGTAACACTATACCGTATTTTTCAAAATTAAACGTTCGAAATGCAAATATTACCATTGTTAACGGGTTCATCAATATAATTTTCAACTACAAATCAGTTGAACTCTTCTTAATCGAACTCTCCCTCACATATTTTTCTTTACATGAAATTCTGAAATGTTTGAATGTGTTTGTTGAATTTGATCTTTCTTTGCTTTGAAATTATGTCTCACTTTTAGAGTTAATCAATTTAAGGGGTTTTTACTCCATTTACAAGAACTCACTGTAATGGTAAGGGCAGTTTTAAAAATGTTGGCTTGTATTATTTTATAATGAGTGCTTGTATAATTTTATTCGATTACTTTAATAATATTTTTAATATTTCAAAAATTTTTTTTACCTTATATTATTTATAAAAATAATTAATTAATATTTTATTTTCTTTGTTATTTATATAGAAATGTTGACGAAATGAATGCTCAGGGCGGCTCTTCCAGGGCTCTAGCCTTAGGGAGCCAATTATCACCCCAAGGAGCGTATTCATCACCTTCAAATACATCAACATTTGATACATCATCACATCAACAACAGCAACAACTTCAACAACATCAACACCAACAACAACAATTTCAACAACATAACGGTGGTTTTGGGGAAAATTTTAATAATAGTAATAATAATAATAATAATTTTAATGCAAATTATGGTGGAAATTATAATAACAGTAATAATAATAACAATAATGACAGTTTAACAAATTTAAAAAATTCATTTGGGCCAAACTCTGAATTTACATCAAATTTAAATTGTGATACAAGTAATAATATATTAGGAATTAATAATAATAATAATAATAATAACAGTAACAGTAATAATAATAATAATAATAGTAATCCTTTAAATACTGGTGGTAATAATAGTTATCATCAGTCAAGTGGTTTAATGAATGGAAACATGGTAGCTGCTACCGGTACACAACAAACAATGGATGGAATGAGTTTCAATTCACAAGTAAATATATTATAAATTTTATGCTTTTTTTTCATCTCATATAAAATCTCATTTTTTTTTTTCATCATAAATTAATTAAATTTTTTTATTTATTTATTTATTAAATCAGATGACCAATATGCAAATGCATAATGGTGGTAATGGTGGTAATGGCAGTATGACAGGTCATCATCCACATCAATATATGAATGGTATGAACGGTATGGGATCAAATAGTATGAACGCAAATACAGGAATGACTGGTATGAATGGTATGAACGGTATGAATAGTATGACACCAAATGGTATGGGACCTATGCCAAATATGAATGGTATGCAAAGTGGTGGTGGTATGGGTGGTATGAATACAAATCAAATGATGGCTGCAAATAATGGAAATGGAATGCAAATGAATTCAATGGGACATATGAATAATATGAATTATAATATGGCAAGACATCATAATGTAAGTAAAAAAAAAGCAAATAATTTTTTTTGAATAATAAATTATTTCGAAAATAAATTTTATATAATAATTATACTTTTGATTACGAGTTCTTGTTTTAAATTTACAAACAAATCAATGGGATAATATTAAAAAAAAAATAATTGCAATCACAAATTTCGAACATAATCTTTAGAGAAGAATCAATCCTCAATAAAGCTTACAAATTATTACATTTTTTTAATATTTGCATTCTTTCCCTATAAACTCAATTATATTCGATAAAGGTCATATACATAAATAAATAATAACAAATTATTAACCCTTTCATTAACTATGTCTTGTTTATTGAAATCAACTATTTAAACTAAAATAATAATTAGTACGACTAAAAGTGTTTCCTTTCGGAAATTAATATAGATTTCCAAACAAATTTAGTGCAAATTAATTGCAAATATTGCAAATATAACATGAATATCACCTACATTACGTAGGTATATATTCTCTTCTCAAGAGATCTTATGTACGTACCCATCTCTAAACTCTTTGTACAGCATATACGCTCTCCTTAAGAAACCTTATTTATGTTTCTATCTCTAAATATACATTCATGTTCTCAAATAATTTTGATTTATTTTATGGAGTATCAATACAGAGGGGTTAAATTTTCGATGACAATATTCAATTTTATATATCACATGTCAAGTATTGTACAGTTGTCAAATCATTGATATTTAAATTGTAGAAACAAAAAATATAATTTTACAAATTAAGAAAAATTAAAAAAAATTCTCAATAACTCAATCATTATATTTAATTGTTTTTACCTTATAACTTAATAAATTTGCATTATCTAGATTTAATTGACTTCATATTAAAAATTTTACATATTGTATTTTATGAGACTGCATTATGATATTCGTTCTCAGTTTAAGATATTGTGGCGATTAATGTAGAATACCTTTACTCAGAATCAAAATACGAACAAAATAAGAATTCAAATATTTGGCCATAAGAATTGATAACTTAGTTATGAATTAAATAATAATGGAATCAGTCATTTAAATAATAATAAATAAATATTTTAAAATTTTGTACTAAAAATTTGTAAGCTAAATATCCGAAAATCATGCCTAATTTCTGAATATTGTGCTAGATTTAAATGTTAGTCTTATTCTGGATATGTATAAAAATAAATTGTTTTAGCAATATTTTTAATTTACATAATAAAAATTAAAATTAATATTATTTTATAACAATGTTAGTACACGAACTATTTTCTATATTAATCACAATAAGCAAGCTTAATGATTTAAAAAAAAAAATACGCAAAACAAACAAGTAAACATTATATTAAAGAGCACGTAAATTATATTTTATTGCTAGTTTTAAACTAAAGAATACATAAATTATTACAATAGCTCTCCAACTTGTTGATAATATCTTATTAGTGTATTATAGTTGTGATAAAATAAAAAAAACTTTTGAAAAATTCGAGTATAGCACGCGTTATATTATATAGGAAGCTTTTTATATTTTCAAATATTTATGTGCATACATACATACATATAAGGAGAGAAAAATATGCATGAGTATGTATATGTACTATAATATGTATCTATATTTTTATATTTATAAGTAAGCAAAAGTAATGCATAATATTTTATTTATACCTATACAATAGATTACAATCTACAAAGTGCATCAAATGTACATGAAACACACTTCCAGCAAACTCTAAGTCATGAATGTGTAAAAAAATAGTTTTTAAAGTCTATCACTTGTGCATTCATATAATTTTAAATTCCTTATAGAACGAATATCAGCCTAAATTCTCAAACAAGTTATTTGTTTAACATTCAGTACCAAATATTACGCCTAAAAATAGTCTATTCTTCCATAAAAAAGACGATAGTAAATAAATCAGTAAATTTTTACTCATGACAAAATTTAAAGGAATTTCAATTTAATTTTGAAAATTTAAACACCATACACCTCACATCCTCACTTGCATTTTTATGCGTGACATAATTTCAGGCGATAAAAACATATTTACGGAGAAAAAATACTAATCTCTATTAACGTACCTAGACTATTCATTCAAAAAAATCCTATTAAAACCCTAACAATTTAAATTGAATTTAGAATTAAATACAAGATTTTCTTGGCTCTTTGAATTTGGTTTGGCTCTTTTAAATTGTCTCGAACATAGTTAATTAAGTAACGTCGATAAAAGATTTTGAAACTGAGTTCCAAACTTATATGCAAACTAATTTCTAAGAACATGTTGCTCTGCCTCCCAGTATACCTAATAGCAGGCTATTGAAAAATTTCATTTTATTAAAAACCAACATAAATTTTACTTTTAAAACTTTAAAAACAAATTATTTATTTAAATATTTTTACTGATCAAATAAATTTACTATGATCTCAATTTAAAATGGTAAACTGCATATATTTGTGTGTACATATATGTTAAAAATAACGTTTAAAAAATTAACAATAAAAATTTATTATAAAATCAAGGATTTCTTTTTTTATTCATTTATAAAGTACACATTAAGTATGTATTAATATGGCGGCTATGATTCTATTTCACTCATATACCCATATGCACTTGTATATTTATTTTACATATGTGTGTACATAAAAAATGTCGACATAAATTTCAAATGCATTAAATTTTTTTTTTGTTCTATAATTTTTACAAAACAAGTTATTATTAAATATTATACATTTTGTTGCGTTATTTTTTTTTTTTTTTGTTTTCTAAATAAAAAAATTTAATATTCAAAACTGTTATTAACTAGTTACGCATTTAAGTGTTATACACAATATGTTTAAGAGAAATATTGTGTTGCGTTAGAAAATTTGTATAAAATTTTGTTCAATAAGTCAGTCAATATTGAAAAATATTTAATCACAATTAAATTGAATTTGAATTATAGAATATGAGTGCAAGCTGTAGAAGAATGCCACATATTATAATAAACGGTACATATAGTTTTCTTGTAAACTTTTGGATAACTTGTGTCATTACTTTATTAATCACATAGTTTAGATTTAGACTCTTTATTCATTACAGATTTCTCATAAATTACAGCAAGAACACTAAAAAATGTTATAGTTAGGAAAACAAGAATATGTAAAACAAAATAAATTTTTACAATTTTCAAGAAATTTTTTTGAAAATTAAATTTTTTGTTAGGAAATTCTTAAAGAGAAGCTCTAATTCCTCTCGTTTTTTAGTTACTTTTTAAATGAGAATCAATTTTTGAACCCCTAAACGAACGCTTTTCTTATTGCAAAAATTTATGTAATAAGTGAACAGATCTAAGTAACATGTCTGGGTATTTTTAAGAAAACCCCCTATTCCTACATTATAATTTTGAAATAATTTGAAAAAGATTCGAAAATATTATTTCGCTATTACTCGCATTCCGAATATTTATATTGTAAATTTAAAGAAAGATATTTGATTTTCTAAAATATTGTGGTCAAAATTCCTAAATAGTAAAAAGAATTTGATATGTTGATATGATAGAGGATTTCCCTCATATAAGCTCTTGACATACAACATTGAATTAGAATTTCTTTCTCAGTACAAATAGGAAGAGAATCCATGTATTAATCATAAATTTCAAATTAACTTGTGCATTTTATCAGATAATCAAAATTATTTCAATTAGATTAAGATTTCAAATCAAACAATAAATCTTACACAATAATATTTCAGCGTCTATAACAGTACAGTAACTGAACAAACTATCATGGCAGCACGTACACACAGATTAGTTCACGATTGTATAAAAAAAAAAATATTTTTTTTTCTATACATTTTAATTTGTTATAATGTTGTTAGTTATAACTTTGATTTAATTGCATAACGATGACAACTCATTGCATAGCATTCGACATAAAAAAATTTCTCAACTTAATACACCTATAATAAATAAAATTGAATAAAAACAGAAAAATAAAATATGTAAAATAAAAAATTTTAAAGCAAAAAAAAAAAATTTTATAAAGATCATTTGAAATGCGAGTTGACTTTGAGTAGAGAATGATTGTTTTTTTTTGTTGTTGTTGTTTTTGTTTTGTGGAAGGCAAAGGTTTAAAATAATATAAACATTTTCATATTTTTCTTCTTGTTTTACTTTACTTATTCAAATCAAATACAATATAATTGAATAAGTACGAGAGTATATTACGTACTTTATTATAGTAAGAAACAAGTTCTAATAATATTTTTTTTTTTAGAATAAAAAGTATAATTATTCAAATATAGTTTTTATTTGTTTAGCTTAGATTGAAATGAAAAGAAGCATTTTAAATAAATTTTTATAAGTAAATGAAATATTTTTGAAAAATTCGAATTTTTTAGATGTCTCCAATGAATCAAATGCAAAATATGACCATGAGTATGGGACCAATGGGCCCAAATCCAAATGCAATGGGTGGTATGGGTCAACATCATCCATCAATGACTGCACATCATCATCATCAACAGCAAATGAATGCAATGAATCCTATGGCTAAAATGCAAGGTATGGCAAATGGTGTTTATCCACAACAGAGGCGAATAGCACCATATCCAAATCCCCAAATGCATGCAGCACAAAAACGACATGCATCAAGTGCTGCTGCAGCAGCAGCAGCAGCTGCTGCTAATATGCATCAAAATATGGCAAATTATCAAAATCCAAATGTTCCTCCACATGCAGTATCGCAACAACATCCCGGGCAAATGCAATTTTCCCATCATCAGTCAGCAAATGGTGTACCAGTTCCTATGCAACCATCTGGTTATGGTCGATCAATGCCAATGAATCCATATGCCGGTAGTAGAGCCGGTGCAATGGGTGCAACTGGAATAGCCGGTAATATGGGAGGTAATGGTGGTATGATTGGTCCACAACAAAGACAAACAACACCACCATATACAAATCCAATGCAACATCAACAATTTTATCCTGGTGGCAATGGTAATCCTTCTGGCAATAATGGAATGGGAAATAGTTATTCCAGTGCTCAAGGGTAATATTTTTTTTTTTTATTGCTACTTTAATATTGTATTTCTTCTATAAAAGAGAATTAGAATAAATTTAAAATCAAATTTTCTTTTATAATTGTAGTTTCCAACAAGAAGTTCGAATGAATATGAACACTTATCAACATAGTCCAGTTCCAGGAAATCCAACACCACCATTAACACCTGCTTGTTCAATTCCATATGTTAGTCCTAATCCAGATATCAAACCACAAATTGATCATAGTGAGTATTTTGAAACTAAATTACTTTTCTAATTACAATGTCACAAAATTTTATTGTATTTTCTAAACTAAAACTTTTTCATAGAAGATGAAGAAATGCGATTAACGTTTCCAGTACGTGATGGCATTATATTAGCACCTTTCCGATTATTACATAATCTATCTGTTAGCAATCATGTATTTAATTTGAAACAAACCGTTTATAATACATTAATGAGCAGGTAATAAAATATTGAATACGATAATTGTTTTAAAATATTAATTTTTTAAATAATAAATTGTAGAAGCGATCTGGAATTGCAATTAAAATGCTTCCATCAAGAAGATCGACAAATGAACACTAACTGGCCACATACTGTAACGGTTTCAGCAAATGCTACACCTTTAGTTATTGAACGATCAGAAAAAACTGGTCAAGCACTGCGGCCTCTCTACTTAAAACAAGTTTGTCAGCCTGGACGCAATACACTGCAATTAACGGCCAGTTCTTGCTGTTGTGTAAGTGAAATTTTCTATTTATTATTTCGCGTGAAATAGATATGCTTAGAAAATGATTTTGAAGGTTTTTTTCCAAAATTAATTAGTGCTTGCCAAATAATCAATTTTCTACTTTTCGAATTCTTTACAGTCACATTTATTCGTCCTTCAATTAGTACATCGTCCATCAGTAAGGCAAGTTTTACACAGTTTGCATAGACGAAATCTTTTGCCGGTTGAGCACAGTGTTGCCAAAATCAAAAGATACTTTGCTATGGGTATGGCTGGACAAGGTTCACCTTCAGCTGATGGTTCATCCGTTAACAATGCAGAATTTATTAAAATATCGCTTAAATGTCCAATTACAAAGAATCGAATACGATTCCCAGCTCGTGGACATGAATGCAAACACATTCAATGCTTTGACTTGGAAAGTTATTTGTTATTGAATTGTGAACGAGGTAGTTGGAGATGCCCAGAATGCAAGTAAGTTTATTAATTATAAAAACATTAATATTTGATTTATTTTACTAATTTTTATTACATTTTCAGTAATCCGGCTCTAACTGAAGGCCTAGAAATCGATCAATATATGTGGGCAATTTTAAATACGCTGAGTCAATGTTTAGATGTCGATGAAGTAACAATAGACCAATTTGCAAATTGGCAGAAAATTATGAAAAATGTTCCTGGACAAATGCATCAACAACCACAACCACAACAACACTTGCAGCCCGGTGCAAATATGCAAGGTAACGGAAATGGTAACAATGATGGAAGTGGCAACGTCAACAATAGTAACGTTCCACAAATCAAACAAGAAACTCCTGATGTTGATGATTTAAAAAATCTAGCAAAAGTTATGTCACCTGGATCAACAGCTTTGCCAACATGGGATAATTCTCAGGCAATGAGCCCATATATGTGTCATGACATGAATTCAATTGCAAGTGGAAATATGATGGGAAGGTAAGATAATTTGATTTTCTAAACAATTTAAAATTAATTATTAAAATAAAATATATTTAATTAATAGTTGCAACAGCTCTCGAAACTCATATGATTCATTTGGAAATAGTAATCAAAATGACAACAATACTGTACCAGATCCTCTCTCACATTTAAGTGATTCCGTTAATTCTTTGGATCCATTAAATGCTATGGAAAAATCACTTAACGATCAGGTAATATATATTTAATACAAAAAACATATATATATATATACATAACGTATATAATATAGTATTAAAATGTAATTTACATTATTTTTTAGATGCCTCATACACCTCACACACCACATACGCCTGGTGGTAATTCTAGTCATCCTTTAACTCCAGGTGGACCACCAAGTGTTAGTTCAGCGCACAATGAAAATATTGGAAGTTCAAATACCAATAGTGTAAACAATAGTAATAATAATAAAAATAATAATGGCAACAATAACAGCCAAAGTAATAATAGTTGCCATAATTCACCTCAACAACATCAAAATCATCCATCTCCTCAAAATAGTAATAATAGCAATGGTAGTAGTAATCAGCAACAACAAAATCAAGCACAATGTACATCTACGCCAAATAAAAATAGTAGTAACAATAATAATAGTAATAATATTAGTAATAATAACAGTAATAATAACAGTAATAGTAATAGTAATAATAATATTAATAATAGTAATAATGATAGTAATTGTAATAATAATGATAATGATAACTGTAGTAATAATAATAATGAAAATAATAGTAATAATTCAAATAATTGTAATAGTAATAGTGATAATAGTAATATTGATAATAGTATTAATACACAACATCAACAACATCAAATAATAAATTCATTAATTCAATCACAAAATGATAATTTAATTAATTTAAATGATACTGATTTAAATGCTGATCTTAATTTTGATCCATCAGCTGTTATTGATAGTGATGCAACACATGATTTAAATGTAAGTTTCTATATATAACAAAAAAAAAAAATTTATATTAATATACAAATATTTACCCATTAATCTTTCTTTTTAGTTATTATCAGATAGTGTTGTCGATCCAATGGAAATATTAAATTATTTAGATCCACAACCTGATCTAAATACACCACCATCAAGTGGATCAAGTAATAATCCAAATCAAGAGGATATATTAGCATCATTATTCGATTGAGGAAAAATTCCAGGTGGCAATAGATTAGGTTGCAATAGCAATGTATAAAAGGTATATTTAAAGAAACAACATGGAAGGAGAATTGTTTCACCTAAAATACATAATGCAATGAAATATAAAGAAATTTTGCAATCTATAATGTCACCTTTTATTTAAATAATATATACACAATAACATAAACACAAAACAAATATAATTCAAACTTAAAACCTTGCATAATAATGGATTTTATTTATGAAACGGAATATTCATATATAAGAAAATATATAAAAAAAAAACGAAAATCTCTTATTTTAAAATTAAAATACATTTTTTTTTTTTTTAATAAAAATCCATTTAAAATTAAAAATAAATTTAATTTCTATTCACTATGTAGAATTGAAAAAAAAAGAAACATTAAACACAAAAAAAAAACAAAATTGTAATTTGTATATAAAAAATATAAAAGATTTACTGAGAGAATATTAGAAGCTCATAAATTGAATGTGTTATACAAAATGAAAATATAATGTAATAATTATTTAAAAAAAAAAAAATTAAATAATAATTATGTAAAAATATAAAATATTATTACAATACAAAAATAAAATACAGAAAACATTAAATGAAGAATAAAATAAAATAAAATATCTTTATGTTTAAATATATACATAAATATTATGTATATACAAACATAATATTATTATATAAACTTATATAATAATAATTATTTCTTTTGCTTTAGAATTTAAGTATAAATATATTATATTTCTATTAAATGAAATGAAAACTGATATGTGATGGCTTATTAATATTTAAATAAATAATTAAATATATAAATATAATAATAATGAAAAAAAAAAAAACAAAACAAAAAACTAAATACATATACAATACATGTAGTTATTATCATTATATAACTAATGATTATTATATATATTAAAAATAAAATAAACAAAAAAAATGTAAAAAAAAACTTGATATATTTTGTTCTTTTTTAAAATTATGTTCCACACACACACACTTAATAAAAAAATATTTGTCATAATTTTGTGTAAAAAAAAAAAATTCAAAATTCAAAAATCATACTTTATAATTATAATAAAATTAATAATATATATGTAATATCCGTTTTAAGATCAATGTGAATTTTTTTTTTTTTTTTGGAAAATATTTACTTACATTTACATAATAATTGTATAAAATAAAAAATTTCTTAAAAAAACAAACAAATTTTTCAAAAAATGTTAAATTTTCATTTTCTTAATCTGGAATTTATAAAATTAATGTGAACAAAATTGAAAATTCAAATATATATATATATATATATACATATATATTATATAAATTATGGTGCGAAATTGTAATGGTTATTATTTTTATGTTGTTTGCTTGTTTGTAAGTTGATATATATGTATTTTTATTATATAAAAAAAAAAAGAAAAAAAAAAGAAACTAAAAAAAAAGAACAAATTTAAATTCTTCAAGTATATTACTTCAAAACTCAGAAAAGCAAAATATTTCAATCAGATACACTTATATATAGAAACGTTTCTTCAGTATATTAAATGCGTGCAACTGACGTTAATCATGAACTCAAACGCGAAATTATGTACGTAAGTCATAAATTTCAACTTACGTTGTAAATGATTTTTTTTTTCAATTTTAAATTTTCTGTTTTATTGAAATAATTTTTGAAAATGTCAATTGCGAAAATTGTTTAATTACTGATAATATTGTCTATTGTAAAATCAAGCTAATCACATGATATTCACATGATCGTCAAATATTTTTACATATTGGGAAACGGCCATATTCTCCTAGATGTATTAACTACGATAATGAAATGTTATTCATAAAATTGTATAATTTCAGAATAAAATCAATTTTTTTCAACTCAAGTATTAGCTCTAGAAGAATATGTGTGTGATTGTATTCTATCTATTATTAAACTCTTTAATAATTTTCGACTTTGATTATAAAATTTTAATTTTATGTGAATTCTTTTTCTAAAATTATTTTATCGTATTTTATTAAATTTTTGCAAAAGTTTTTATTTTTACAAAATACAGTATATTTCTGTACGTATAAAAATATTATTAAAAATTTACATAGATTTACAAATATATTATTCACAAAATATTCAATAATTACATATATAAATTAAAAATATTAAAATATAATATTGCTTATACTAAAAAATTTTAAATACAAAATTCTATTTAATTTCTTGTAAAATTCACATCAGTTTTGGTGATTCTAAAAATAAACAAATTAAAAATTTTAATATAAAAAAAAAACACCAAATAATTTTTATTTAATTATCACTTACCAATAATGATATTTGAAATGAATCAAGATCTTATTTATAATCATTCTTATTTATAAATTATGAGCCAGTATCGTAAACTTCGTTCGTAGCTTTAAAATTCGGAAAATTACGCATGTTATATTATCAATATTCTGAATTACTAAAATTCTGCTCCAAATATTCGTAATAGAGTAATCATAAATTATACGTTCGTAACAAAAAAACATAAATAGCAATTTGGAAGTTGAAATAAAATAGTTATATTGGAATTCCAAAAAATGATACTGTCATTTTGCTGATTCATAATCTCTACGAGTGGAATCTAAAGCCTACGATGTTAAACTAAGCTCGTAATTCGTAGGATTCTAGATGTGAAATTCATGATAAGGCTTAATTATATTTTTCATTCAATTTATTTTTTTCTAATTTTTTTACATATTTTAAATTGAAAACAGTGGACCAATTTTTTCTCGTTTTATTTCTACATATACATCTAAAAAAAAAACTGATGAAAATTATAATAACAAAATTGTCATTTTACTCCAATTTTTAAAAATCCGTTATTTAATACGGTCAAAGCATTACCATATAGTTTTATTTTATTAGACAATATAAAAATATATTTCAAAAAATAAAAAAAATAAAAACTAGCTATTCAAAATTTTGCATTAATTTTTCAAATATTTTCTAAAATACGAAAAAAAAAAATAAAACTATCAAAAATAGAAAATTTTCAATAAATATTTTCCAGCTTTTTTTTTTCTTAAGAAAAAAAACAACATACACAAATAATTGTATTGTAAATAATTCATCGGTTACTTATTAATAAAAAAAAAATATATTACTAAAATATTATATTTAAATATTAATTTAGAAATTTACATCTAAATTTAATAATAAAAAAAAAACACACACACAAAAAAAATTAACAAGTATTTTCAAAACAAAAATTTAAGAAAAATTGTACAAAGTATTAAATTAAAATATATTAATATATACATTTATATATATATATATATATATGCTTTTAATATTATGTATATATATATATATAAAATATATTATATACACATTTTTTTTTCTAGTAAATAATAAATTTATTATTAATTGATTCATAATTAATTATAAAATGTAAATGTATAAAGCTATATATTAAAACAAAAAAAATTAATATTAATTAATTATTTTTAATTATGAACAAAAAAAAAAAATTAAATTAAAAAATTAAGTTTAAATAAAATATTTAAGATAATTTGAAATCAGAATTAGATTAAAAAAAAAACACATACACACACAGAATTAAATAAGAGAGAAAAATCATTTAAACAAACAAGTAAAATAAAATATTAAAAAACTTATTTAATAGTCTATAAATATTAAAAACAAATTATATTAAATATATATATATACATATATACACATGTACTATATGTATATTAAAATAAAAGTATAAATATATACTTTATGCAAAATATTTAGGTTTAAATTTTATTAAAAAAAAATAAATTTAATATTAAAAACATAATATAAAAAATAAAAGAAGAAAAGAAAATTATATGAAAATCTTTTTTTTTTAACAAAGATAAAATTAAAAATTTAAAAATTCTACAATTTTATTGATTTTTTATATAAAAATAATTTATTATATATTGCATATAAGTATACTTTATGCAATGAATGAATAACAATATATTATAATAAATAAATATTGAATGTAATAATTCAGAAATAAAATATATAAAACAAATAAATAATAATTAAATATTAAAATATTAATAATAGTAAAGATGTATTCAACAAAAACATGTATGAAATAAATAAAAACATGTATGAAATTTCAGTACAACAAAAACATGTATGAAATAAAATTTTAACAATTTTCCTGTTCAATTTTATTAAATTCGAATTTTTCAAATTAGTTTTTCAATTTTGTTAATTTTATTAATAAATATTAAATATTTTTTTTGTGCTATACACTTTAGTCAAAGAAGTGGTTTTAGATTTCAAATTCAAAAGCTTGATTTCTAAGAGATGTTCTAGAATTTTCGATTAAATGAAATTAATTTTATTAAAATTTTATATTAAATATATTAAACAAATATTCTAAATGGACCTAAAATTTAACTAAATTAAATGGACCTAACATTCAACTAAAATTAAAACATAATTTTACTAATTTCAATATAAAATTAATTTTTATTCCAATATTTCTTTCGATAATGAATGAAAACATCTTTATCAAATAAAACAAAATATACATATTCAAATTATCAAATAAAACAAAATATACGAATAAAAAAGATTTTGTTAAAATTAATTAATTAAAAAAAAATAAAAATTTTAACAAAAAATTTTCAAACAGAATTAATTAAAATCAAAAAAATATTAAAAGAATTCCTTTGTCACCCTGCCCCCTCCCCAAAAAAAAAAAATCTCTTTTTAAGATCATATTAATTATTATTATTATAGTAATTGAAAAATTGTATTATATATTTTAAAAAATAAACTAAAAAATTTAAAAAAATATTGTATTTTAAGGAATAAAATATAAAAAAACAAAAAAAAACAAACAAAAACAACCAACAAATGAAATCACAACATTAAAAGAATTTTAAAAATTAAATAAACAAATTTATAAAAACACAACAAAAGAATTAAAAAACAGAATTTTGAAAAAAGAAAAAATAGAATTTAAAAAATTAATTAAAAATTAAAAATATAGAAAAAAAATATTTATAACAAAAACCAACTATAGTTATGATAACAAATACATAAAATAGACCTTTGCTCATCAAAGGACAAAACAAAAAGAAAAACAATTAAAATAATTATTTTATTATTTATTTTTTTGCAAACAAAAATATTAAGAAAACACAATTGAATAAAATAAGTAAAAAAACTTATAAAAATGCATTTTTCAAAATATTAGTTATTATTGTATAACAAAAAAAAAAAAAAATTAACTATTTCGCATTTTGCTTTCTTAAACTTTTATAAAAAAAAAAAAATGATTTTTTTATAATATAAAACAAAATCTAAATATAAAATTATTTAAAAAAAAAAAATTACTAAAAACAGTTGAAAAACAAATAAGA